CCTAAGAAGTTAAGACATGTTTTATAAGCTTTACTGAACAAGTTGCTAAGATTTTAACTAAGACCCTTGGTGCTAAGCAGTTTCGTTATCTTCTTGGAAAGTAGTGCATTTGTGATCTCCACATCCTAACTTTAGGGGGAGTAAAGGGAATCGTTTAGCTACACAACATAAGTATCTGATTCCAACTCAAAGAATTCATCGTCATCTAGTACATAGTTATCTATCTTTTGTTTGAATATTTTGGTTTCCTACTTTGTCTAGATTTTTTTATCCAACTTGCATATATATACCTTTTATAGTAGCATTTTTATTTTAATAACAAATTAATAGAAACCCTTTCATATTTCTATATACTATGACACTTTTTTTAATTTTTGAGGAAGCTCAACCAATGTTGGATTGCCAACATGGCCTTCTTTCATTCCTTATTTTAGAAACAACCAATCCAAATGTTGTTCATCTAAAGACCTTAAGTTTTGTCTACTCTAATCAATATTGGAAACATGAACATGTTTTGAAGGCATTTCTTTTTCTTGCAATGAACACATCATTGTTTGTAATGTTTTTTTTGTTCTTTTTAATATATATAGCATCTTGATAGTTTTATAAAAAAAATATTTTTACTTCAAAATAAAAACTTAAGGTGCCTTAACAAATATTTTCATTATGTAACTAGAAAATCAAGCATCACTAATAATATATTGTAGACAAAATTGCAAAAATGGTCGCTATGCTATGCATTTTTTCTGAGCTTTTAGTCTACATCTCGACTTTTTTAGCTTCATGGTCCTTTTGAATTGGTTTTCTTATGGTTTTGATCCCTCAAATAATTTAAAAGACTAAAATGCCCTTTTATTTTTATTTTTTCCTTTTTAGTACTTTTTTATATTTTATTAATTGAAAACAAAAAATGACCCATCTCTCTCTCGCTCTCTCTCTCTCGCTCTCTCTCTCTCTCTCTCTCTCTGTCTCTCTCTCTCTTTCTCTCTCTCTCAAAACACATACAGAAACGAAAAAAATGTTGGAAAAATCAATACAACAACTCCATCGAGCTCCACCATCTTTTCACAAGTTTTAATTTTTATTGGGGGATGAGTTCAGGGGGAGATGATGATGGTAGAGAAGAACATGTGGGAGGCTAGAGGAATTTGGTGAGGCGGGATGAGGGTCGGAAGCAAAAGACACACACACACATGGATTTCTGGTGTGACTAGGAAACGTTTATCCCTGTTCAAAAACTGATGAAGATGAAACCTTCATCCCTGTTCAAAAACCATTATAGATCCTTAACTAAATCAAAGATTTGGGTTTCTTGTTTCAAAACCCTTAGAAAACTTGCAACTAAATCAAGGGTTTGGCATCTAAAAATAAACCCATAAATCAAAGGTTGGGATAGGATTAGTTCACAAGTTGATGACCTTTGCAGAGGTGTGTAACAAGACAGCCTCAAACTAGATGATGCTTTGTTCAAAAGGGAAGTGACACTTAGTCGAATTCATCATGTTTAGATCTGTCTTTGATTTCATTAGAAACAAGTATTTGTTTAATGTCTGATTTTTTATATGAATTGGAAGCACCAGCTCATTATGCTTCTTCACCTAATTGAATCTAGTTATCAAGATAAATAGTAACATTTTAGGAACACCCAATTTGCTTATGTCAGTTCTATGAATCTTCACATCCACTGTTTATCTCAAGGATGTATGAGCAGAGGGTATTTCGCTCTCCTCAATGATGATGACGGATGGTCTTGGCTTTTCTTGAATCAGGAGGGCAACCATCTCGTTGAAGGCCTACGATATCTCAATTTTCACTACCAGAGCCAACAATGTGTTGGTTGTTGTTGTATTCAGAATCGGGAAGGATCTAGAGATAAAGAGAAGGGAAATGTTGTAGGGTTTGTAGCGAGAACGGGGAAGTGGAGCTCAAGTTTAAATTGTTTGACATATTATAAATATAGATTAGGATGATGAAATTTAAGGGAGAGAAACAAGAAGAAAAAGATGAAAATTTCATCATGTGAACTCGAAAATCAAACGTTGATGAGGATGAACTTTAATCTGGTTGAGAGAGAGAGAGAGAGAGAGAGAGAGAGAGACCCTATTTTTTCCTCTTTTTTTAATTCATAAAGTATAAAAAGATACTAAAAATGTAAAAACTAAAAACAAAAGGGGATTTCAGTTTTTTGGTATTCGGAGGAACCAAAACCACAATCAAACCAACTCAAAAATGACCATAAAGCCAAAAAGTTGAGATTTTGATTAAACCTCAGAGAAATTACATACAACATGCACCATTTTTGCAATTTTATGGATTGTAATTTAATAAGATGAAAATAGGAAATTTTGGTTAGTTTTGATGGCATATTAAGAATATACATTATTAACCAAATGAGAAATATTGACCTATGACGTCTGCTTGGGTTCGACCATTAGTGAATCTGCCGGTGACACCATGAGCAAAATCAATTCCATATGGTGGATAATTGGCTTTAGCGGCCGTCTTGAGTTTATTGTTATTCCCACTATCGACCAATGAGTCTCCAAATATGAAGTAACATGGGACTATTGGTTTGCCCACGATGATAAACGTTCCCAACTTTATGAAAACGGAAAGGATACAAATTGGAAATAAATTTGGCTTACAATTAGCCATGTTTGGTATAAGAGGAAACAAGTGGGAAACAAGGTTATCAAATCCAAGAAAATAGATCAAGTTAAAGTAGATGGAGAGAAATGCTGATATTGAATGCAAAATGCGTGGAACATAAAGAGAGGAGAGGTGGGCAACAAGTTAGGCGAAATAAATAAATTCTTTTAGAAAGCATGAAAATATCACATTTGAGGGGAAATACTTTTTTATGTTTCTCCATTGAAGCATCAATGTTATTTTATAATCAAAAATCCATATCATGATTTTTATTTTATTATAAAAAGTCTCAACCTCTTTAATTAAATATACGCCGATAGTGATAGCAGAATTGTTGTAAAAATCGATCATGAGAATAAGCACAAAATACAAGAGAAACAATTGTGTTAGGTCTTCCAAAATAATCACAAAGATCTCATGTAAACCATGAAATGCGACTTTTTAAGGAAAAAACCAAAGAAAACGAACATCAATCCACAATAAAAGAAGTAATATATGAAATGATCGTTTTTTATTGTAATTTACATATGAATGTTTCCATTAATGGAGTAACCTAATCATCAAGCAAAGTCGACGGAGGTGGAAACAATACCACACGTTTGATTTCTTTCCTTGTCAAATACGCTCAAAGGAGGACTATATGATTCTAATATATTTTTTTACCAAGACAAAACAAAGTACAAGCCTATTCTACATTTGTTGTTGACATTTGACTGTGATATTTAAATATTAGACCTGATTTTGCGAGTTGCACAATGATATAATTATACAGTTAAAATAATTGCGGGTAAAAATTAAAAATAAAAAAAATAAATATTTTTCTAGATTTTGTTCATGCTTATAATCTTCTTACTCATGTATAATGACTATATCTTCTTACTCATGTATAATGACACGTGGACATCGTTACTTATCTCTTTCTTTAATCACATCTTTTAATTTTGATATTTGTCTTAATCAAATGTATAAGAATAAAATGTACAATGATATTTGATTTATTTTAAAAAATATATTCTAGTTTATGTTTTCATTCATATTTTTTGGGCATTAACCGAATTAACAAAAATTAAAAATGTCTATTAAATAGTATTTTGATACCATGTAATATAATCCAAGCATTTTCAAATTTTGGTTTTAGTTTTGTACTATCGAATGAATATTAAGTTTTTTATAACATTAATTTAAATTAAATACCCTTTAATATTTGTTTTCTAGTATTCGATAATATTTTTAGGATGAAAACAAGAAATAAATTGATTTGAATGATCTATTAATAAATAAAATTAATCAAATAAACTTTGTATTATAGTATTTATATTGTACCAAAACATCTAATTTTTTAGATATGAACTTTCATATATTAAGCATTTAAATTAAAGAATTAAATCACACAAAATACACCATTATAAATAAATCTCATAAGCATTTAAATTAAAAACGAAATGACACAAAATACACCATTATAAATGATTCAGGAGTTTCTCGAGTTGAGCTTCGTTCTTCCAAGCTTTCATCAATACAATTTAAGCCGTGCCGGGGAGAACGACAAATCCACACAAAAATGATTGGGCCAAATGAACTTTGGGCCATCATATTAAGATATCTACAATAAAACAGGCTAAAAGTATGCCTCTGTTGTTTGCTTGCCTCTCCCAACCCGTCCCATAGAATTATAAAATAAAAATGCAATACATTATTTAATTTTTAAAAAATGGGTGTCCATATATACTTCATTATTAAAATTGTGCCTTTAACAAAATTTAAAAACTCCACAAAATAAATAAAGAACATTAATAATAATAAATTAAAAACTCCATGAAATGACATGACATGCATTTTTTATCGTCACTAAACGAGGGTCGCATCAATGGGTGAGAAGGTATAGGCGGTCTCCTAAGGCCTCCAAGTTTCTAGGGTTTATTTTTTATGTATCTATTTATATTATTATAATAAGCAAATGTTCTATATTAAATCGTCGCATACAGCAACGAAAAAATAAAAACGAGATTGAAGCAAAAATTGGTGGAGAAGATGAAGAGATTCCAGCTGATTCTTCATGAATCTAAGCAATTAAGCAAATTTTTACTTAAAAATTTACTATCAAGAGTCTTCTTTTGTTATTTTGTCCTGAGCCTCAAATCGATTTGAATCGACCATGCACGTAATATTTAAATAAATATATTTTTAATTTTCACTAACAAATTTTATAATATGATCGATGAATATTGTCGAACAGAGGGAAATTTTGCAAATTAATTCCTGCATTTTTCGTATGAATAATAATGCATAGTAACACTTTTCATTATCTTCACATTTATATACAACAAGTTAATGTTTATTATGACATCTTATTAATTATGAACCCGCACCAAATGATATATATCATATGGGTAAGCATCAGCGGGATGAATAGCATGATATGCTCTTGTTGCCATGGCTATATTTGAAATCTCAGAGGGATGAAGAGCATCGTAGTAAATATGAAAAATTCTAAACGGGCAAGGGATGGAGCCAGCTTTGCATGCCCATTCTCCATCTAATTTGCAACAAGGAGGAGTTCGCATCGCCCTATCTGAAAAATCCAAAAGTGTCTTACAAAACTAATGGATCATGTAAGTTCATCTTTAACTTTAAACGTTATTTACTTTTATACTTTTAACATCATGAAAATTTTCCTTCAAATGAAAAACATTGAAGATGGTTTATATCATGTCATTTGTATACGTAAACCTGATTTCATCACTGAGTTAGAGAGTAAAATCAAGCTAGGAAACCAGGTACGTATACAATCCCATATTATTATTATAATCATTGCTTGTATTTTACCTCCTTGTGGATATAAAATGCTTGTAATGTTGATGAAAGTGAATAATGCATCTTCGTTATCAGTGTTGAGCTTCTCAACAAGAGGCTTAAACTTATGATTAAATAACATGGCTGCTTTGTTGATTTCCTTTACACATGGTTTCCCATCGGTACCAAACTTGCTTGTCGCAAGAGGGGTGCACCCTATTTGAGTGAGAGCAAATAAAGCAACTTTCCTAGCTCCCATCTTATACAAAGTCTGTCAAACGTCCAAATAATGATGAGAACCTCGAAATGGAAATGGGAATGAAGAAGGGTATTTTTCAGAGAAGAAAAATGGATTATAATGAATGCATAAGGAAGACGAAAGTAACAAGAGGTGTACCCTTAGTTGCTTAGAGTATTGTTTCATAAGGACTTCTGTGTATTTTTTCAGGGAATATAGGCGACTTGTGTTGTAATGGTCAGGCAAAAAGTAGTTGTTAACAAAATCGTTGCTTCCTATGTTGACAAGGTACATACATTCCTTCAGGGTACTTATATTTTGTTGCAAGCGCGAAAGGCGTGAAATTACTGCTTTGTGATTAACTAATTGCATATCAAGACTGAACCGACCTCCCTGTTAATATTTGACAATATAAAATTAATCTCTAATTGGTAGTCATTATGAATTTATGATTATATAATATGCCAAAATAATTTTCGAGAATTTGTTAGGGATAGTATTAACCATTCTACTTTGGTGTTATACAATCAAATATGAATTGTAAGCATAGAAAAAGAGATTGAAATGGTTCTAGTAACACACACACACACACACACACACACATATATATATATATATATATATATATATATATATATATATATATATATATATATATATATATATATATATATATATATATATATGAGAAAATTGAATATACCCTTAAAGGTATATAAACTTAGGTACCCAAAATCATCATACTATGTTGTTTATATCATATGTATATATACATTGTAATTGTTCAATGTTCTTGTAATTCAACTTCTAACTTGATATACTTCTAAATTTTTTATAAATTTCACATTTATCTTCCTCTTACATAATTTTCATTCTCAACTCTAATATATATAACCTAATAGATGTTCGGCAAAAAAGTGATATAAGAGAAAAAAAATCGTGAAATTTCGAAAATCTTCAAAGTAAATCAAGTTAAGGTTAAATTTTAATAACATTATAACTAATATATCAAACAAAACAACTAATTATAATGGGTTTGGGTACCTAAACTTATATCATCTTTTAATTATTCTTGTACTGCAAGTGTATATTTTAATTTGCAAATTTTGTTACCAGTTGTTTTTTATTTCTGTGATGAAAATTAATTAGCGGGCATACCATATAAAGTTTGACATCATAGGATATTTGACATAACGATATCAAGTGTTCTTTGATTATTGCCCTTCAGCCAAAGGTTAATAGTTTAAGTCTTTTTAGAAAGGCAATGTATATAATTTAAGAGTAGAATACAAGATGTGTGAGCTAGCCATTCTATAAAATTTTAAAATTTGAGACCGATATACTTATTATGTTTGGATGTTTTCCATAGAACAGGAATAGTTGTTGAGTCTATTACTTTATTCAAAGAGCTCCATCCATGGAAATAATATACAAGTTATATCTGATGGAGATTAGTGATTATAGTCATAACAAGTCCGATAATATAGTAGTATCCTTTTTTATTACACAAAATAACAAAATAAAAATAGACCTGAAAATATATTTATATGAGGGACTTGTTTTGTTAATTAATTAATAATTTAGTGAGTTAATTTGAAAATAATAGAATATTGAATATTCGATAATGATTTGAATTCCATAGATCATGATAATTAAATTTAGTAGTTATCTCTAGGGTTTCAAATCACCACCATATATAAAGGGGGCTCTAAATCCAGTTTTGCAATATGAGAGATAACCCTTCAACTATTAAAATTTGGATATTCCAAAAACCCTAAGAATTCCCATAGTGGAGTTCACACGTCGTGCCAGCTAGATCACCACATCATGTGCAATAGTTGAATCAAATTTTCGATTTTGTTTGAAGCTCACAATTCGAGGATTGCTTGGATAGCTTCTATCTTGTGTCTTGGGTGCGATTTAAGAAGATGAACTTTATGTTGGGTTCTCTAGTCCATCCAATTGCTCGTCAAAAGAAGAAACCTACCAAGAGATCAAAGGTATATTTCTAACTATTGTGTCCTAATAAGTCCCTTAGATTGGTTGACTTAGATCCATATTGTTTGAATATTTTATATTAGAATTGATTGTTGTTTCCGTTGTCCAATAGTTGATCTTGGATAGGCTCGGAACGCATTAGTGGTATCAGAGTCTAGTTAACTCAAGTCTATTGCACTTAAACATTGTCTTGACAAGTATGTTTAGGGTTTCTATGTGTACGGTTTCTGTTATAATCATTTTAAATGAATAGAAATTTTCCTTGATAAAAATCGAATTTGTTAATGCTTGAAAAACAATGTTTTTGGTTGTTCTACCACTTCGACACATCATGGCTGGTCCTCCACCACATCGTGGGCTTGGTCGATACTGCATTCGGATTGTGATTGTCTTCGTCGCCACACCGTGGTTCTTTCTTGGGCACGTTGTGGCTAGCTGCAAAGAACCTAAAATAATAATTTAATAAACCATATGTTTTATGTGTGCCACGACATCATTGTTCCTTCCCTACGTCGTAGAACCTGAATATCCAGATTTTTCTAAATTCCTTTCTTATTATGTTTGCCCATTTTTTCGATTTTAAACTCATACACGTTAGCCTTTATACTAAAAGATAAAGCCAATTTGATTTAATTATAAGATTAATTAAAAGACAAAATATTTGGACTCTCTTAAATAATTTAACTGTTGACTTTTAGTCAATGAAATTAAAAGACATATTAATCCAATATATATATATATATATATATATATATATATATATATATATATATATATATATATATATATATATTGTAAAATAGAATTTATATGTATCACATCAAATACAAACATTGACTCCTTGCATGCTTCTTAAAAGTGCATTGTTAGTTGAACCTCGACTAGGCTCGTCAACTTTATTGCAATATGAAAGGTTTAAGGTAGGTATTTTTGATTCCTAATGAGGTCGACCTTTAAGTGCCATTCATTGTTCGCCACTCTCACAGACTTCTTGCATTTGAAGTGGAGTTACTGAAAGGGTTTGATAGGATAATTGTACAGAGTTAAAAGTATTAACTTAATAAGTAATAAAACAAAATCATATTTTATATAATGATGTGAATCTTATGCTTCACATGGAAATTACGCTTTATGGTATATTCTTTTGATGTAAGCGTGTGTAGTTTACCAGCTCGGTAAGGGAAGAATATAGTCAAAGAAATGTATATGTTGATCGCGATTCTCAAGCGTTACTTAAGTTGAATCTCATTGTAACATCGCATGGTCGATTCACCATTTTGATTCATGATCCTCTGCTAATCCAATCATAATTATTAAATAAGCATAAGAATATATTAACATGTTATTGACATAAGTCAATAAAGATCGTTTCTAGGAATCTCAGAGAGATTATGACTGGCAATACTTTGTCTAGCTAAATGAATTCATTCTGTAAACTTTGGGTAATCCACTTTACATCGTGAAGCCAAATATGAATTCTATTTGGTAATTCTATTAAAATGATTTATTGATCCAACTGATTGTGTTTTCATTTGTATAAATGTCTTCTATTTTGGGTGCTACTCCTTCTCCTGCACCAACCACTTTATCAAACTTCTCACTACTTTCACTCCTCTTGCAAGATAAGCTCACTAGTCCTAACTACCTTTATTGGATTTGTAACATATGGATCACTTTGAGGTTCCAAAACAAGGAGTATAGGTTGGACTAGTATCTTGAAGAGGAGCTTCCTGATGATGCTACTGAAGAAGAAGCAGTTAAACATGAAAAGCATCACAATCACTCTAGTGACGTCTCATGTCCAATGTTGGAAACCACGTATTTTGAACTCCAAAAGAGTTTTCAGAACCTTGGGGCGTACCAAATGAACGATCAGATCAATGACATGTTCCAATAGGAAGCTTGGCCTGAGAGATTCAAGGTGATACAATCAATTATAGGTTGCCAACAACATGAGGGTGGTTCTGTAAGTACACATGCTCTAAAGCTAAAAGGTTACTTTGATAGACTTAAACGTCTTGGGTTCCCCTTCACTCAAGATTTGGCTATTGACGACATTCTTAACTTATTGGTTAGTGCATAGAAGCAGTTCACTATGAACTACTATATAAATGGTTTGGAAAAGACTATCATGAAGCTACATGGGATGCTCAAGACTGTCGAGGAAAAAAAATTCCACCTAGGAACACAAGTTCAACAACTCATGTGTTGGCTATTAAGGAAGGTGGTGTCAAGAGAAAGAGGCCATCTCATCCCAATATCAAGGGAAAAAGGAAAGGAAAAGTGGGTGCTCCTAATTCCAACCCTAATAAGGGCACATCTGAAATACCACCAGTGAATAAAAATTGTTATAGTATTGGTAGACTGTTCATAGGGATGAACATAGCAAATCCATGCGACCGATACTGATGAGTACTTAAAAATGGAGATTTTAACTATTGGTGTAACCACACTTAAATATTACTCCATAGATCATGTCACGAGTAAACTAAGAAGACCATGTTTCATATTCTTCAAATTGAGATGCATGAACATATGTTCTACAACCTGTTGTGTCTTGGTTTTTCCCTAACGTTGTCCGTAACTAGAAATCATACATGTTTTGACTAGATATTGCATGAGGAAAAGTACTGACCTATGTAGTCAAATTTTATTTGATCCTTCTTCTAGAAATGGAGAAATAGATATCTTTGGGCGCCCCGTTGATTTGGTTTTGACAAAAAGTGATTGGCCAAGCTGAGACTTAGTTGAGTATAATCGATAGTTAGTCTGAATGCCACCACAAGTCAGTATCGAGAATATAATCTTAAAGGATGAGATTAACCATAGATCCATGTCTCTAGTTTATAATAAGATATCATGAAGATCAAAGGAATTTGAAGTTATTAGTCATAGGGTTGTTTATAGCATTGTTGTCATAAGTATACTAGTTGCATTTGACTACCACTTAATTTTGTTTTGAGTAAGTATTAGACCTGTCAATTGTTAATTCCCATATACAAGTGGAAGTAGAGGGAGATTAATGCCCATAGTAATAACAAACCCGATAATATTCCTATAACTAACATTGTCCTTTTGGGTTACACACAAGAACTAAATAAAAACATATCTGAAAATATATTGATATGCATGACTTGTTTTGTTAATTAATTAATAGTTTAATTAATTAATTTGAAAATAATATGGAATATTTGAAAATGATTTGAATTTCATAGACATCGATAATTAAATTTGGTAATTATCTATAGGGTTCAAAATCGCCACCCTATACAAAGGGGGATCTAAATCCAGTTTTGAGATATGAGAGATAACCCTTCAACTATCAAAAGTTCGGATATTCCAAAAATCCTAACAATTCCCAAAGTGTAGTTCCAATGTCGTGGCAGCGAGATAAC